CAGTTGGCATTAATTTCATTTCCATCTTCACCGCATTATGGTCAGAGCTGGTCTTTGGGCAAATTTCAGCCTTGCTGATCTTTGGAGCCAGTCCTCTAGTTACCCAGATTTGGTTGATTCTTGTCCATGTCATTTTTGCCTCCGAGAAGAAAGTTCCTTCTCTTCCCAGAGGATTCTTCATTCTCCAAACGTCAATTAAGTCCAAATTATCAGTCATGTCAAAAAATGTTTTTGGTAGTCTTCCATCCTTGGTGATTGTTTGTCTTTGCGCCTTATCCATATTTGTAGATACGACACCATTCATGTCTCCCATCAAAATCATATTGTAATCCATATAGTCCATCAAGATTTCATGTAACTTTTTGAAGAATTCCGATTTCCCTTCATTTGGTGCATAGATACCTATCACCAAATACCTATCTCCTTGTAATTGGATTTCAATTGCTACCAATCTTCCTTGTTCATCTTTGAAGATAAATTTAGGTGATAGGTTCTCCTTTGCATAGAGAACCACTCCTCTTTTTTTAACTTTATCTGATGAAATAAATTCTTGACCTAATTTCTTGTTGCTTAATAATTTCCTGTGTAATCTTGTCACATGTGTTTCTTGTAAGCAAATTAAGTCCAATTGCTCTTTTTTCAATAAATGAAACACTCTTCGCCTTTTCTCCGAAATGTTGAGGCCATGGACATTCCAACTCAGGGCCTGCAGCGTCATCCTGTAGCTACTTTGGTACTCCCCCAACTGCCCCCAGATCTTGTTCCTCTTCTGTTGGTGGTAACGTTAGCTCCTTATCGGGGGGGTCCAATCCAAAAGACAATGATGAAATGTCCAAGGTATCCAAAGTATCTTTTTTGGGTGATGCTGTCTTCCGTACTCTTTGCTCCAATCCTCTGTCTGGTGACCCTCTTTCCGGTGATGTTGGCTCTTTTCCGATTCCCTTCTGTAGGTCTTCTTCGTGGTTGTGCAAGAACTTTGTTTTATCCTCTAATGATCTTATCTTTATTTTTCTTCCTTTAAAGCTAAAAGATAGGCCTTGAGGAAATTCCCACCGAAAGTTGATTCTGTTCCTTCTCAGCAGTTCAACCAAATCTCTAAAATTAAATCTCAAATCTAAAAGATATTTGGGAATATCTTTAAATATCTCCACTCTAAATTTGTGTATTGTCAAGGCCTCCTCGTAATGCCAACTCAAAATTTTATCCCTCTCTTCCTTCGATCTGAGTGTAATCAAACAGTCTCTTATTCTGTTCTTCTCCTTCTTCCCTCCTCTTCCCAGTCTGAAGGCTCTCACAATTTTAAACTCCTCTTTTTGTAGGTCCCGATTCCAAAAGGCTGCAAATTCCTCTGTGAGAAAGTCTATCAAGGAGTCTTTTTCTAGTTCAGGTACTCCCCGAATTCTCAGATTTGTCTGTTTCTCCTTGAGCTCAAACATAGAAGGCATCTGCTTCTGGTCATGTACTTGTTTGCGTGGCGAGGCCCCTCCCCCATGAGAAATGAAGACACAGGACACGTTATTTTAGGTTAATGGGCATAAAAAGGCCACAACTTTATTGATTACAGAATTGAAAGGTATTGGCCTTAGGCATTGGCTCCTATCGACTACCCGGCATGCTGACCGGTAAGGGTTAACCACAACCGTGGGAGTCCTGTTGAAGTACGCCAACTAGGATCCCACGGGTGTTACCGCTCGGGGGCGTGCCGGAGGCCCTCACCTCCCTAGGTTTCGGACAAGACAACGCCCCTCGGAGTCCTTTACCGGACTACCCTTTTCTTGGGGGAAGGTGATGGCGCTTCCTTCCCCCCCATTCCATCTGCATAACAATAACCCCCTGCCAATGCCTAACCGCCACTCGAGCAAAGCTCGCCGCCAATACCTTTAAATCTGCAACCAACTCCTAATCCCTGCTATGATGTCCCCCAACCAAATATCATTTCCAGTATCCGACAGATGGACGCCATCCAATCTGTAGAGGGCCTCGTTGCTATGCTGGATGCCTGGGTGTCCAATGACACACCCACCCAGAGCCGCCACTCTACGTTCCACTGCCCGCTCCAAGACCTTTCTTGCTTTATTAATTCCAACCGGGCTCACGCAATCCCTCCATGTCCTCCTCTCAAGCAACGAGGACCACAAGAAAGTAATGTTAGGGTAAACGGCTCTCAGATCAGCCAAGTCGTCGAAAATGTTCCATCTCAAATCAATAGCTTTGCGGTACGCCAGATCATTTCCCCCCAACTGGATAACCAGTGCATCGGGTGGACCCTGGGAGGCAGCTCTCGCCATCACTGCTGGTTTGAATTCACTCCAGCGCATGCCCCTTCGCGCTATCCAAACCAGTTCCACGCTTGCAGGCAAGCTCAAGTTCAGCCCGAGCCCAGTACACATGGCACGATTCTTGGCCCAGTGCACGATGCTGTGGCCCACCACCCAAATGCGTATCGGCTTGCTTCCTGAAAGGTAAGTAGACAGAAAAGCCAAGGTCAGGGGAACAATCGCTAGTCAAAGGTTCTTTCTCACATAGGCTTTGTATGCACTAGATTTCCACCGCCCTAAGTCCTTTATCCTCTCTGCTGAGAGTCCAAGGTGTACTGCTGTGGTCGCTGCCCCAATACGGAAAGAGTGCGCCGCGAATTCGGCCGCGGGCAACCCGCAAGCCGCCAACGCCAAGCGCATCACTCTCGTAAACTGATGTCTGGCCAAGAGCGATCCGTTCGCGTGAATGAACAAGGGGCCGGGGCTATTGGGTCTTAAGTAGAGGAAACACCTCATATCCCTAACCGGACAGGGACCACTGGCTTGTGTGGCTGGTAAACGCAAGAGGGCCCCTTTACCCTGTTGGTCCGTCTTAGAGCTTCGAACTTGGATTATTAAGTCGGCCTCTGATAGGGTCAGATCGCTTAATAGGATGCCCCTCTGACAGTGGGCCATCCCTCCCTCGCAGACCACCTCGCCTATGCGCAGGGCACCAAAGAAGGCTACGGAGAAAGCGGCGGAGAATAGGCGCGCTTCGTACTTTGACCAGCATATCTCACGTAATTTTTTGTGTATCTGGAATAGAATATCATACGTTATGGGCCTCCTCTTGTCAGCGCTGGGGGGTTGCTGACGCCGCCAACCCTCCAAAGTCTTACGCACGATGAATTCAGCGCACGGGTCGGTGGCGAAAAAGGCTTTACAGAAATAGGAAATACCAGCGGACTGAATATTGAGGGTCTTTGGCGCCCTGCCCAGCTGCTTTAGATGGGTTAAGTAGCGGAGGGCCTCCCTAGTTGAGGGAATTGAATTATGCCTGGAACTGGGCATTCTGCTGCGAAAATTTAAAAAGTCGGCCCAAGCCTTCCCGTAGGATCTCATTGTGGAAGGGGCAACTGCACCGAATACTCCCTTCATCACTTCCTGTTCCCAAGGCTCCAAAGATGCTCCGGGAAAGACATCGATGATTGCTCCGCCTCTGGCGCTAATGAGCGGAAGCGCTCCATCTGAAAACGAGACAGGGCATCCGCGATGTCATTATTAACGCCGGGTACGAATTTGGCCGAAAAATATATATTTTGTTCTAGGCAGAGGAGGACGAAGGACCTTAACAAGTTTCCTACCCTGGTGGAGCGCGCGGACTGTCTTGAGAGGACGGCTACCACTGCCTGATTGTCTGTGTTAAAACAAACCCTGTGATTCCTAAAGTGCTCTGCCCACAGGTGTACTGCTACCACGATAGGGAAAAATTCCAGGAAGGTAAGGTCCCGAGTGATGGGCTGACCCTGCCACTCTGCAGGCCACCTTTGAGCACACCATTGGCCCCTGAAGTAAACTCCAAAACCCAATGAACCTGCTGCGTCTGACTGAACTTGGAGATCAGTATCGAGCGCCATGGACTCTTGCCACAAGGATATCCCATTGTATTTGTCAAGGAACTGTAGCCACATACCCAGATCAGACTTGACTTCCTTGGAGAGGCGTACCCTATGCTGAGGAGCCCTGAGACCCGCGGACAATCTTGCCAAACGGCCGCAAAAGGGGCGTCCTGGCGACACTACTCTACAGGCGAAATTTAGGTGTCCCAGCAGGGATTGAATTTGCCTTAAGGTAACTTTCCTTAGCGGCAACAATTGTTGTATCAGGGTTCTCAGGGCGTCAATTTTACTTTTTGGCAATCGGGACGTCTGGGCGACGGTGTCTAACTCAATACCCAGATAGACCATGGAGGTGGCCGGACCCTCCGTTTTTTCCGCGGCTAGCGGAACCCCAAGCTCCCCGGCTAGGGCCGTGAAAGCCCCTAGGAGGGCGGAGCATCGCTGCCTGTTATCTGCCACCAAAATAAAATCGTCCAGGTAATGGGACACGCCCACCGACCCGGTCCTGAAGCGTAGGGCCCAATCGAGGAACGTACTAAACGACTCAAAGGCTGAGCAAGCAACGGAGCAGCCCATAGGCATTGCCTTGTCAATGAAATATGCCCCCTCAAATCTGAAGCCCAACCAACGGAAGTCTTCTGGGTGGACTGGAAGGAGGCGGAAGGCCGATTCAATGTCACATTTTGCTAGGAGCGCCCCCTTCCCAAAACTACGAATCATTTTTACTGCTTGATCGAAGGAGGCGTATTTCACCGTGCAAAGCTCCTGAGGGATCGCGTCGTTGACAGAGCCTCCCCTAGGGTAGGAGAGGTTGTGTATCATGCGGAACTCTCCCGGGGTCTTTTTTGGCACGATGCCCAGGGGGGATAAATGAAGTCCTTCCAAGGGGGGTTTGGTAAAGGGGCCGGCCACCCGGCCTGCTCTAATTTCCTTCTCGAACTTTTTTCTGACAATCTCAGGCCTTTTCCTAACAGATTTTTGATTTTTTGGATCCCCGGTGTTAGGGGGGAAAGCCACCGGGATTCTGAATCCCTTGGAAAACCCCTCCCATAAGTATTGTGCGGCTTTGCGATCAGGATATTGATCTAGAAGGTTTTTAAGGGGTTGGAGACGGACGGGAGAGAAGGCCAGACCCAGGTTCAAGTTACTGCCTGCTACCAGGTCCCTGGTGTGAGGGACCGGGGGCACCTCTGTTGTTATTGTGGAAGTACCCCCTGCCCCCACGAAAGGGCTGCTGTTTGTTCTTAAAGCACGCGGAGGCGGGGTGGTTTCCCCAGCACCGGTCGCATTCGTGCAGATACTTACAGGAGGGTCTTGCACATGCACCCTTGTTGAACTCCCAGCAGAGGCGACGCCGCTTCGCCTCCGGTTTACCCGCCTTTGCCGATCCCAAGCTTTTCTTATCAATGTAGGGGTTAACGTCCTCACCCCAGTAGTTAGGGTCTGTTAGGTCCCATCGAGTGGAAGGTAGGAGAGAAGCATTTCTACGGAAGTTCTCGTCGTAAGTTAGAGCGGCATGTTCCCCTGCGAGCGAGTGAGCCCGCCTCACATGGGCGAGGTAAGCGACTAAATCCATAGAGCGCCGAGGATAAGCGGCGCAAACAACACCCATGAAGACCTGATACCCATCTAACCAATTCTCAAAGGTGCGCTCCGCCCTAGGGGTCCTGTACCTCCCTTTTCCTGAGGATCGCCTCTTTTCACCTTTCCCCATTAGTTTTGTAGGTGGGAGTAGGGTGAACATGTCAACATAATCACCGTTGAGGATCTTATTCCTCTTCTTCTGGGACAAATGGTTGCCCAAAATTCCGGGACCTCTGTTTCCAATTGTGCTACTTTCGCTTCCACCGTAGCAATCTTTTCCTTAGCTTCCTCTGCAGTCTGCCTAGTTGAATTAGATTCCTTAAGTAGTGTCTCAATAGCTTCTGTATTAGAATTAACTTTTTGTTCCAAACTTTTTATACTTTGTGTATTTTGGTCCAATTTTTGTGAATTTTGGTCCAATTTTTTATTCATTTGTTCCAAAGAATTGTTAATTTTGCTTAAAACAAGAGCCCAATCTTCTTCCGAGGGCATTCCTCCTTTTGATTTGGTATACATTGGCACAGCTGCAGAGGGAACAGGGGGGCCAGATGTAGAGGCTCTCTGAAAGGTCCTGCCAGATCTAGTTGTCTTTTCCTGTAATGAGTCTATTTTTTCCTTCCCATCTGCCATAACACTCAAGGCTCTCAAGGTCAGGTACAATTCCCAGGGTTTTGTCTTTAAAACTGGAAAATTCCACTCCTGATAAGCGTTTCAAAGTCCTCCTCTAGAGGGAAGTAGTTGTTGTTTATCTTATATTAGTCCAAAGTATCCTTTTCTTTTTATTTTTCTCTTTAAAGTTACTCTAACAAATTATGCCAGTATGTTTAATATCAAACTTTAGTTCAGAAACATAGTTGAAACTTTTAAGCCAAGAGAAAATAATTGAAACAATGTTTCACTCACTGACAGTTAGATAGTCTATTCGCAGTCAATGCGGAGCTCCACAATGCAGCAATTTTAATGGCTGCCGTTCCCAGGTTCCGAGCGGTGAAACGTTAACTTTTACCCTCTTTTTCTGCAGGGAAATAATGTCCAGAAGTCCCCCCCTTTTCCCCTGCAGCCAAGGGGGGGTTCGCTAGTTTTATACTGAAAATTTAGATGTCAAAAGCAGTCTTTCAGGCTTTAGTTTAAAACTCCTTGCTTCCCACTATTTACAAAGAAAGGAAGGCGGACTTCCTGTTTTACGCCTCCCCCATTCGTAGCCAAATTCAGCTTGTTAAAAGTCCAATTCCTTCACTTTACTCACAGGTAGTTACTTTAGATCCAAATGTCCACAGGAAAAAGGTCAGCGCTCCCCGACAATGGCTGTGCGGCTTCACTCCATGAAAGTAGCATTCAGTTCGCAGCACCGCGCCGCTCACCCCACTTCGCTCTGGAGCCCTTAAAAAGGATTCCCCACGAGTAGGGGGGCGCTCCAGGTGCCCTGCCGAACCCCCACGTTCCCAGGCTTCTTCCACCTTAGATTTCTGACGGGTCCCCGCCTTCGCCGTGGCGGGCGACCCAGTTTTCGCGGAGCTAGTTCCTCCACTTAGAGGAACTCCGCCATTAGCCGCTGGCGCTGTCCCCGGAAGTCTGTCCATTTTCATTTCTTGGTACAGAAAGTATTGGTTTAAATTGTAGATATATTTCCTATTCTAATTGATTTAAGAGGGTTCTGGAAGCTTCTCTGTGTGATACAAGCTGGTGCAAGCTGGAAGTTTCTAGCTGACACACAAGAATCTATTCTGCCTAGAAACCAGAAAAAGGTTCCTGATGTTTGGGTTACTCCTTCAGAGAAGCTGAACAGCTGATTTAAACTGGTTCTGTTATCTCTTTCACTCAAGGTCATGCTGACTATAATAATAGGCTAGAAGGAGCCTGGGTTTCACTTCTTCTGGTGTGGTGTTCTGTACATAGTATGCTTAAGTGCTAAGTTTTAGTCTTATTGTAAGTTATTGTAGGTTTAGGTTAAGTCTGCTGCAACTGGTTTTCTTATGGACTGTGCCAATCCTGAATGTATTGGATTTGTGACCATTATGCTCATTTGCCTTCAGTAGCAGTAAAGCTCTGCTGGATAAAATACAATTGCCTCTGGTCTATTTTGGGGGATCCTACAATGTGTTTAAGTTTTTTACTCTGCTAACTATATGTTGGAATCTGCTCTGGATCAATATGAACAGAATTCATGACACCCCTCTGGTGCATGTCCCCCTGACGCATGCCTCCACCCCAGCTGCCCAGTCCACTGGGGGTACAACACTTGCCCTCCCCCAGACACTGGCAACCCATGCTACGTCAGTGGATCCCACCTCCCTGCAGAGGGGAAGGGTCACAGCAAAGTCCAGTTGCACCAGGAAGTGATCTGACCATGGCACTTTTTTTGTTTCACTTTTACTTAGTGTCAGATCACCCACATCCACAGAGGTAAACACCAAATCTAAGGCATGTCCACAGCTATGAGTAGAGCCAGATTTATTCAGGGACAGCCTCATGGAGGCCATGCTTTCCATGAAGTCCTGAGCGGCCCCTTGTAAGGTCGCATCTGGATGGATGTTGAAATCAACCAGGACCACCAAGCATAGGAGCCAACTCCTAGGGACCAAGGGGGCTTGTCTCCCCCAGTAAAATATTTGAGGGAGGCCCCCCCCCCCAGGTTGATGGGCATTGCCATTCAAATGGTGTACGTGCACTGCATCATGTGATCAATTATGCAGGGTGGGGCTTACCTGGGACCTCTCAATATTTTATTCAAGTTGGCACCCCTGCCACCAAAATAGGTGTCTCTAGGTGAACATCCGACATGATCTGAAGCAGCTCAGGCAGGGAATCCTTGGTGCAGGGGGGAGGTCAGTATACCAATAGGAATCCTGTACTGCCCCTATTGTCCAGCTTCCAGAACATGGTCTCAGAGAACTTTGTCTCCTTGGTGAAAACTAAGGACTTATTAAAAAATCACTGCAACTCCCCCCTTTCCCACCCACACAACCTGGGTTGTTGTTGTGGTAAGAATTCACCTCTACACCACCTTGTTCGTTACCCATGTGAGGAACAACCACCTTTTGAATAAACCATGAAACTGTCAGGCTTCAGGGGCTCAACTTCCTCCCGCCTTGGCCGTAGATAAGCAGTACAAAGAGAAAGCAGTCTCTTACCAGTAACTCCTGTGGAGTTTCAGGAACCTGGCCATGAGCAGGAGGAGGGGTAGTGTCACGTGGGCACATGCGATAGTAGTGTCATGTGGGCACATGCGATAGGTAAACTGGCCCCAAGTTGTTAACTAATATGCTAATAAGTAGACCTTGAACCAGTCTTGAAGCAACCAACTCATGAACTACAGTGGCAAGGTTTTCCTGGTCCAGGAATGGCTATAGCTGTCAAACCAGTCACAGTTCGTAAAAGGCACTTCTAGCCACTGAGGCTACTTAAGCCTCCAGTGACAGAAGCATCCCCCAAACCATGAATCTGCTCCTTCAGGATGAGTGCGACCGCATCCAGGGTAGGGAACTGACTGATTTCTCGGACATGGGATGTACTCACATACAGTGCTTCTGTCTTGTTCTTGGGCCTAGGACTGCTCCCTGTTCTCCTCTTGGGTTATATTTCATATTACTCCTCCTCCTCAGTCCATGTCATGAACACATCTGCCCCAAGTAGAGAGGCACAGCATGAATTAGGAAGCAGCCAGCAGCAGGAAAGCTTGCATTTCTCTCAGATAGCTGGGAGCAGTCTGCTGTCTACACCCCCTCCCCTTGACACTGAAAGGAATGCAGATAAGACGCTAGCAGAGGGTGGGATGGAGAGAAGCCAACTCATTCAAGAAGCACAGGAAGGCTTGGAAAGCAGGAGGGGGAGCATTTCCTCACCAGAAGAGGAGGCAATTAATCCTATGAGCCCAAGGATGGGAAAGGTGTTGGACAGGAAACAAAACCAGAAACGTAAGGGTCGTAGGTTCAGGATATTCTGCAGAAGCACGAAGAACTCAGAAGGGTCAACTGAATTGTAAGGTACGGAAGCTCCGATAGAGTGTCCGAGGCTGAGTGATTCCAAAGTGATGGGTGTGATCCTCCTATCAGTGTCTCCTATCAAAGAACGATGAGATATGGAGAGATGAACAATGGGTGATGCAAGCAAAAAACAAGTTAGCGGAATTTTTTGAGATAAATGGGAAACAAAATACAGATATAAATGTAGTTTGGGACGCAAGTAAAGCGTACATGAGGGGTCTTGGAATACAACAAATGGCTAGGCTGAAGAAGAAAAAAGACAATAACATCCAAGAGCTAGCTAAACAGATAAGAATTAATGAAAAAGAATTGATCAAAAATCCAAAAAGTCATGAAATATTACAATCAATCAATCAATTAATCTTTATTACGGTCCAGAGACCCAACAAATCATTACAAATCAATACACAATTCATACAGCCTACCTCCAGGTTAGACAAGCATTTTGTTTAGAATATAGGGCTCATTTGTTCTTGCAACCACCGATAAAAACTTTGCCACTGCTAACGTTCTAGCATTTGTCCGGTCTTCCAGTAGGAACCTGACATAGTGAGCCTCTGATTTTCCCGGAAAGGTACCAGCAAGGGTAGTATCAGTTCAGCCCTGGCCTGCTCATATTTTGCACAATGCAACAAAATATGTTTTATGGAATCGATGTCTTGAGCACACGAGCAAAGTCTGTCCTGGTAGGGAACTCCTCTCAACCTGCCATCCAACACTGCAGAGGGAGAGACATTTAGTCTGGCTTTGGTGAAAAGCCTTCGATAGTTTGGTACTGTCAGGTTTTTAATGTAAGATGTTAACTTAAAGACATACCCATATTGAACTCCTACTGCCAGCGGACTAGACTGCGTGTGATCGAGATCGCAAGTCACTGTGTGCATTATCCCATAATCTTTGCTTTAAGATCTTTTGGGCGCCTTCATAACCCAGGTAATACAGTTGGGGGGGGGAGAGACAGACCAATAGAGGTAGCTTTTTTAGCCATGGTTTTCTGCCATTTGCTGACAAATTCCTCGTTGGTCAGGTGCTGGTACAAACCCTTCCCTAGATCAAACACTGAAATCCTGAGCCAATGTTTTAGGGCAGCCCACCACGCTTTAGTTGAAATTGGGCATTCACCAGCTTCTAACAGAAGTACGGACTTGGGGACACAGTTGGGTACCCGCAGCAGAGATCGTAGAAATTTTGCCTGAAAGCCATCTAGCTTTGGCAGGTCCCCATTATGCCAGACATTTGCTGCATACAGGAGTTGGGAAACGGGTTTTGCGTTGAAAACACTTAAGGCTGCTGGAACATTTTTTCCGCCCTTTGTGAAGAAGAATCTGAGTATGGCTAGCTTTTGAAGGGAAATTTGCCAATGGTGCTTCCAAGCTCTTGTATGATGGAATGTGAGCCCTAGATAACTGAAGTATTTTATCTGTTCAAGGTTATGGCCATCCAGCACCCATTTAGACCGGGAGAATCTTCTTTTGAAGGCTAAAATTTTAGATTTTTCATAATTAATGGATAAACCATTTCCAGAACAGTAATCAGAAAATTTCCTCAGCAGATAATTCAAACCTGGTCTGGAATGTGAGATGATGGCCGCATCATCAGCATATAACAACAAGGGGGTCCTTCTCATTCCTATTTTTGGAATGTGTCCATCTGGGTCCATTAAGTTCTCTTCTAGGTCGTTTAAGAATAGACAAAACAATGTGGGGGCCAAAATACAACCCTGTCTCACCCCCCTAGTCATCTTGATGCTGTTCGATAGCTGTCCTTGTCGACTGCATCGGAACTGCAGTTTGGTTCCATTATACAGGGCTTTTATGAGAAAGAGAAGTCGTTTGTCCTGCAAAATCAGACTTAATTTGGACCATAGCTGGGATCTGGGGATGGAGTCAAACGCTGATTTCAGATCCATGAAGGCCACGAAGTGTTTACCCTGTAGAGGCCTGGTCTACTTCTCGGCTAGGAAGGACAGCATTAGACAGTGGTCTGTTGTTGAATGGTTCTCACGAAAAGCTGCCTGGGCTTCAGATAGTCTATTGTGTTCATTTAGAAAAGTTGTCAGTTTGCTACTGAGGAATCGGGCATACAGCTTCCCAATTATTGAGAGCAGGCTAATTGGCCTATAATTGGAAGGTACATTTGGGTGGCCTCTCTTAAAGACTGGGACTACTATAGCATGTTTCCAGCTATATGGTACCTTACCTGAGTTATTTACTACCGTAAAAAGTGCTGCCAGAAGCGGAGCCCACCAGTGCTGGTTTGATGTAATCAACTCCGCTGGGATAAAGTCTTTCCCCGGAGCCTTTCCACTCTTCAGATTCCCAATTAATGTATGGACTTCCTCCACAGTAACCGGCCTCCAATTAGGGAGCAGTGACAATTCTGCCCTGTCATCATCCTGGAAGCTGGAAGGGAGGTTTGGATTTTCCATAAATATAATTCTGAAGTGGTTCTCCCAAACCTGAGCTGGAATGACACAGCTGGGGGATGAAGAACTATTTTTCATTGAGTCGGAGACCAGTTGCCAAAAGAGTTTAGTTTCATTGTTTAGTGAGGCATTCAATAGCAGGGACCAGGAATTTTGTTCGGACTGC